AGTTCGAAATTCAAAAAAAGACTATTGAATGAAATTGTGAATGTGCCAGGTTCAAAACTGCATAAAAACTTTTTGCTCGACCTAATATAAAATTTTAGCTAGGACCAAACGAAACTGAAAATACAAGGTGGGCCAATAGATGTGTCCAGAAGTGTATTAAATCTTTAATTAAATTCACGTTGCAGCACGTCAACTTCAAAGAAATACTTTTGGATACCAATTATTGCGTGCAACTATCGTTTAAAGTGCGCGCTGCGATAGATTCATATAGAAAACGATTCCTGTGCAACCTTCGCGTTGCACTAAAATTGCGGGGCTATGCAACTAAATAATTTGTTAATCGTGAAACTATCGTAAGTGTGGGCGCACGTGCAAAATGTGTTCTTTCTTGAAATCCGTTCAACTATCGCAATGCAATTAATTACAAGTGCATCTCTCACCGCACCCGGTCCATAACTTTACACCAATCCCAACTTCACATACACCGTTGTCAGTCGACCCTACCTAGTTGCCCATCAAGCTATAGCTAAGTCCGAAAAGGAACTTCGTTCCAAAAGCCGGACAAGCGCGAGTCGAACTCACACACAAATTAATTTACCTCAGTCTCGAATTGAATAAAACATTCAACATCAAAAAAAGTAAAATTATTGAAAGTTCAGAAAGCTTGGGTACAATGCCGCGCGCGGCGTCTAAGGTCAATGTTTGTTTTATCAGTCATACCTATGTCAGATAAGATATTGAGGGTCCTATTTAAATGTCGTTTATGCAATAGAACTGTGTATTTATCATCTTTTTATTTATCATAGTGAGCTACATAAAAATGCATAAAATATCCAATCTCGTCATTTAGATTTGTGGATAGCTATTTCTTATTCACGTTAACAACATACCCCTACATTTTGTACAAAAATAGAGAAAACTGCTGGTTTTGTGAATTCAAGTAAACCCAGGTTTAGGGCACCGGTCGCGTCAATTACCTCCCTTCATACACTGCGTAGGTATCTACTTGATACTTGGCACTTTTGATGTTTTATATGGGTACTTAAGTTAACACAAGTGTAAATTGTGTAACGTTTACTCGTGTGATGTAAGTACATGAGTGCAAAGCCCCGCGCGCCGCGTGCCGGCCACCTGGAGTGCCAACGCGATCGCGTCTCCTGCGTAGATATACAAACTTTTGAGAAGTTTAGGAATGCACAATAATGACAACCGTTTATTTATATCTAAATAAAATTTTACTAGAAAAAATTCCACGCGGACCAGGCAGCAGACGGGACTCAGATTTAAACATCTAACAGTTAAATACTTAAAAAATAAAAACAACAGTTAATTTATTAATATCTCTTTAAAAATTACTCGCGAGCGAAAAACCTTTAGTTCTTCCTTTAAAGTGAAGTCTCATCATGCAACATACGTACCAAGATTGTCCTTGTTCAATCTCTCATTCTGCCTATTATCGATTACGCCGACGCGACGTATTATGTTATCCCGATATAAATGAAAATCTTCTGAATAAGTTGGATCGCCTTCTCAATAACTGCTAACGTAATACTACCATATTTCACATTTTCGTCACCAGCTCAAGTGGCTTCCTATTCGCGAGCGTAGGAACCTCAAGAGTTGTTTGTGCCCTTTTTAATCTTCTCTTCGACCACATACACCGGTTTACCTAAAAAACAGATTTAGGTTTCTGAGTGATTCTCATTACCGTGTTCTCCGTTCAACGGACAATCTCCTTCTGCCTACTCCCATCCATTCTTCTGGCTTCGTCTCCTACTCTTTCACTGTCACGTCGGTACGACTCTGGAATGACTTGTCCCCCAACATACCTAAAGCTCCTAAAAAACTTGAATTTAGGGGATTGGTTCGTGAGCACTATCTCAATAGCATTAAATCGAAGCATTAAACAGCGTTCTCATATATTTGACTGACATAATCGTATACTTATATATGTATTGTATGTAGGTATATGTGTGTATATGTATATATATGTATGTGTGTATTCTGTTAAGATTATTTGTATCCTTGGTTTATCTTACATTTGTCTTTATTACGCCCCCGTCATATTAGTTTTTTCTCACACTCTTACTGGGGGCCATTCGAATGTTTTTGAAAACGCTAACGTTTTCGATTTTATTTTGTTATTTCTGACCGCCTAAGGTTTTCAAATACCTCATGCTCAATTTTTTTAATATTATTATTACCAATGCAAAAGAAAAAAAAAGAGCGCGAGGCATTTGAAAACCTTAGGCGGCTAGAAATAACAAAATGAAATCGTAAGCGTTAGCGTTTTCCAAAGCATTTCCGTTAGGCGAATGGCCCCCTGGTCGACTGGTAGAAATTGCCTTATGGCATTATGTCCGCCATTTGCTGTGCTATTTTGCAATAAAGTTTAAATAAGTAAATAAACATGTCACCATTGCTTCCGGACCACATCTAAAACTCAATCAATGGCATATATTCATTGGAGTGTGACTTTTTGTGCATTTATTTATCCTCGCAAGGGATGCTAGGTAAACGTACCAAAGGAACTAGGGCACCCTACATGGTAAAGTTATGTATTTATACAAATAAATGAAAAACGTTGGAATTTTAATGGAAGTACCTACCTACCTTTATAATGAACATTCATCACATTGAAAATCAGGAGTTATTTTTTTTCTTTATCATGTAAGATTGTAAATTACCTGTTTACCTAATTGAGATCTACGTAAATGTGCGCATTAACTGAACGTTAACGTATTACGTAGGTGGAATATCTATGATGCTCTCTCAGTACATAGAGCACTCGTTTGTCTCAAAAACATCTCAAGGTCACACAGTTGAATCACCATTATGCATGAGAAGTTGCGTCATGTGACGAAACAGCAGTTGTTGATACATTATAATGTAGGAAAAAATTTAGATACAGATTATATTATTAGGCTGTTCGAAATGTTCGTAATGTCGAATCTAGCTTATTTGGATGTAACGTTTATGCGTTAGCGTGGCTCAACCTATGAACCTATGCCAAAGGTTGAATTGTAGAGTTGCTATTAGCTTAGAACAGGGTATTTGACATGTTTTAGAAAACGATCTCAAGTTATATACTAATGTTTATGAATTCCATAAATTTATTCTGTGGATAAAGGATAGTCATCATTCTGTTGTGTATTTCGATTTCAGTAGAAAAACTAAAAAAAAAGAACAATTTCAAGTTGCTGCGAAAACGTTTCTATGGACATTATTGCGTTTCGCTGGTATGTGACGTCACACAACTGTCGTTAAAACGTCAAACAATACAATGTAGCATCACTTTAACTGGAAGTTTACTAGCGTGTGACCGGAAGTTCTTCGGTCACGTGACCTTAAAAAAAAACCTTTCTCTTTAATGATTTTTTGGGAAAAATATTAATTATTGGCTCTCTCAAAATACTTAAATCGGTGCTCATATTAATATTTAATACAGATGTCAACAGTACTTTATTTTTTAAGGCTGTCAAATAGCCTATAATAACTCTTTATAGTAAACTGACCTTCTTTAACCTAGATTTTCTTATCTACTGCTAGCTAAACGTTTTATCCTCACTATCACTGTACTTTTCATTTTAATAATTAAAAGAACATACATACCTTTGAAGGCAATCCTAGGAATGTGCTCAATTGTCGAAAATGAATTTATTAAACATATTTCCAATAATATTTCAGAACTTCAATGGGTTTTTGTTTATGACCGCTAACCTTGACATTAAACTGTAAAAAGGTCTCCCTTCATATGCTAAACCTGTTTGAGGGCTGTAAAGCAGATGCGAAATAAATCTGTTGTAGTTACTATGAGGATTAAAGAAACTCAATTTATGTTCAAGGTCTAGACCGCGCGTAATCGTTATCCGTTATATAGTTATTTAATGATTAGACCGTTAAATAAAACGTGATTATTAACGTAAATGAAATGTAAAAGCTATTGAGATAATACCGATAATTTTAGTTCAATTGGACTTCATTCACGTCAATAACATTAAAACGAGTGTAAGGAAAAAAACTATTTATCTATACTAACCTCTTTAGAGTTTAAAAAATAGTTTTATCTGGTGGACATTAAACACTGTCCTAAATATGAATGATACATTAATTAAACTAGCTAGCTAAACTTAATTAACAGTCAGCATCTATTTCTATTAATCTGGCTTTAATAAAGTTGAAGATTTCATCTTGTGAAAATCATATAAACTCCAGAATATATGCTAACACTAGTTAGTTGGTAGTTTTCAGTGTCGTTTTAGGAATAGAACAATGTTTCTAAGACGATATGCGGAATGTAGCTTCCGCCCGCAACTTCCGCCCTCGTTAACTATGACTTTCTTATTTTTTTCCCTAAAACCTTCTACAAAGTATAAGTAAACTTAACATTTATTAAATCGTTAAAGCCGTGACCATGGTAAATGGGGATTCATTAGATTATATTAAAAGGTAAATCTTATAATAGAGGAGAGGTAAGACCTATAGCGGGTTTGCGTTCGAATTCAGGCCATGGTGAAAGTAATACCTCTAGTTATATTTCTGATGATTAAGATATTCAACGCTTCATGATGTGGTGTAGGGGATAGGGTTCAGGCCAGCAAGGTCCGGCCAGAACCGGTGACGGCTCATTTTCATGCCGAATCAGCTATCGGCGCACCTCCACTCAAGGTTGCGGTATGGTAATTTATTGTGCCTTATATATAAAAAAAATATTTGAAGAGCGATTAAAACACTAAACTGGAGACTTCCCTTAAAAGCCTGTCCATTAAACCACCATTGCTAAATAATTTAAAGTATATATTGGTGTCGATTCTGGCATGATTCTCAGTCATCAGTATTTCATTTTCATTCTGTGTAGGGAATGACAAGGATACACCGTTGTCAAATTAAATTTTAGGTTTAGAGAATTTAAAAATAAACGTCGAGTGTTGCGGCATAATATCATGTGTATTGGATGATGATGATATATATTTATATGTATTCGAACGTTTCTTTTCCAGGGCGAGCGCGGAAGAACCTAAACTCTTTCATTCCGGTGCCCACGGAAGCGTCAAAGACTGAAGAAGATAAAAAGCCGGACGATGAAGAAAAGAAGTCGGATTGTGATAAATGCAAGAAGGTGAAATGTGGTGAATGTTCAGATCCCAAGCAGGACAAATGCGAGGACGGCAGGAAATTAAACAAGAAGATCAGGCGGCCCAGGAAAAATAGGAAAGCGTTGAATAGACAGGAGCATGGCCAATGTTTCTTCCCAATGTCTATGTCCATGCTGTATGGGCCACTAGGCAACTCGGCTGAGAACTTAACTCCCGCCACTTTCCCGCACAACGTCACATTCAAACAGGTATTTTTTTTCTAACATCAATAAGCCTACCCCTAAAGTAAGCCCTGTAAAGCTTGTGTTATGGGATACTAGGGCAACTGATAGGCATATATATACATACTGATACATATATAAATATATTTATCTAGAAAAACATATAAACATCTATGACTTAGGTACAAATGCTCGTATTCATCACACTAACATTTGCCCCAACAGGGTTCGAACCCGGGACCCCTGAGCAGGCGACACCTTGACTTGAAACCCCGGCATTAAATACCACTCGAGCTACGGAAGTCGTCGTAATTTATACATTATGTTTTTTAATTTTAATATTCAATATACATTTATGTTAGAATATGGTATCCGATGCTTAATACCCTAATTACAACAACACGAACAAAATCATGCCCGTTACGTGTCCAAAAGGTACATCCAATGAACTCCATGGGATAATCGCGTAGCCTAAAACAATATAAGGTATTAATAACAATAACAAATAACAATATAATATAGGACGGGTTGCACTCCGGGAGTGCCGGCAGAAGTGAAAACTTGAATATTAACGTTGTGCATTTTTGATATTTGGAATGGTAAGGGAATAATTTTTCACGAATTGCTTTAATTATCAGTATAAAAGTACTATCATTTATGTGGTAGAATACAATATTTATTATTTGCGCTGTCGTACACAAACATGGCAATTTATATTACATTAAAAAGTTTGCCTCATAGAAAAATCAACTTACATGAATCACATTTAAGCGCACCTAGCGACATCTATTGTAAAAAAAAAAATCATTTTTTCGCATTAAAGCTGCCACCTGGACGTCTTATTTAGAGACTTATTATTATAATACGATAAAATAAAATATTACTATGTTTCGTCCAATATATTGAAAGTCAACAACCTTTCCAATTTTATTGTTTTCGTCTTACGCCACGTGTCCTGAAGTGTACAACGCCGCTAAAGAAGTTTTCACTTCAAAATAAACAGAGTCTTGTCATCGTCACTATAATCATTAACTGATAGCGTCGCGGTTGCTTATCTTATGCGTGCACCAACGTAAACATTAAAGCTCTTACATTTTTCGTGACCACACACTATGTTTTTTAAAATTTTCTTTAGTACCTTTAGTAATGCGTATCTATTGGAAGGGGTTACGTAATTATTGCAGTCTATTGTTAAAATATATTTAACGGGTTATTATACACGTTCATAGGAATTTTGATGTACCAAACTTGAGAAGGATTCAAACTTGATAAATGGGAATTATATGCTATCATTTCACAATTGCAACAACAACATGCAATATGGTCCGACAATTTATTTATCTACGGTTGCAATAACCTCAAAAGAAAGAAAAAAAGTTTTTTCGGGGATATTTAAAATAAAATGATGCTACTTCATATGCACATCAATTAATACAATGACTGGTCGAGTTGATTAAAAATTAAAAGCAAAACTTTGTTAGTTAGAAAGAAACATTTTAACTCCTTTAAATTAAAATTTAACATTTTAACTGTCATCAGCTTTTTACAATCTGCTACTCGATGACACGGGGCGAGTTACAAGCTGCTAGCGAACTCGCTGGCTTGTAGCTTTTTAACTCGCCTCGTGTCATCGAGGAGGCTTAAACAGTTAAGCCTTAATTAAATTTAAGAATATTGGTGCAAGTCCTCGAGGAGGTCGATTGCGCAAGTGGTTAGCGCATTCGGCCTGTGATCGTGAGAGTTAAGCAACTTATGCAATGGTCGGTCATTGGATGAGTGACCAAAAACTTATTATCTCGAGCTCCTACGTGCTTCGAAAGGCGTTAAGCCGTTGGTCCCGGCTGTATCTGCAATTGTTAGCGCCCAACGTTAGCATCCGCACTGGGCCCGCGTGGTGCGTCACAGCCCAATCTCCCTATTCCATCCATAGGGAAAGTCTGTGCTCCTGCAGTAAGGACATAAATAGGTTAATGATGATGATGGTGCAAGTCTGCCATTAATCTTTCATCCGTTCTTGGTCATTCTTATGTAACGTACGATATTTTTACAGGGGAACTACGTCCCTCGCGAAGATATCGCGGTAGGCTCTGGCGAGAGTCCACAGTTCGACTTGATCTTGTGTTTGTCCACCACCAAGTGGCTTCACCTCAACTGGGGCGACGCTGGCTTGAAGCGGGCGTTTCGACGGATGTTCAACGACCTACGTCCTGGTGGAAAACTGGTGATAGAGGCACAGAACTGGGCCAGCTATAAGAAGAAGAAACGGTTGACGGTAAGCTTTCTAAGCTGTTAAGCCAGGGCTTGTTTACCGGTTAATTTTCAAACCTAAATCAGTATCAAGTACATTAGGAGCGTTTTATTTAGGTTTGGCTTTACCTTAACCTTAAAAAACCGGTTTTCCTAAAAAGCGAAATCAAATAGGTTTTGAATCAATTTAGCGGTTTTAAAGGGTTTCTTTTCGCTCTTACTGACGGCATCGCCTTAGCCGTTTTAATTCAAATTTATAATGATTTTATGTCAGTTTCTTTCCAACTACAGAATGAGTGAGTGAAGTAGTGTGTCAGTACACCACTACAAAATGAATAACTTGACTCACTAGACGCTAGCAAACCTGTCAATAAATGCTGATGCATTAGCAAGTTGATTTTTGTTGAGTTAGAGATTGATATCTCTGAGCATTAACAAGTTGTGACTTGATTAGTTCAAACAAAACAAACTTCAAGCGATGCCGACGCGTGCACGTGTCGCTCTGGATTAAACTGGTTTATTAAGGTTTTAGGTACCGCTTTCATTTCGGATGCGCTTCGAACGAAACTTTTACTTAAAACCAGTATTAACCTTTATTTACCGGTATTTCGAAACCGGTTACCGGCCCTGCTTAGAACTAAGTAGATAGATTCAATTCAACGAAGTAGACGCTGGTTTGAATAGGGCGTTTCGATGGATGTTCAAAGGCTTTCGGTTTGCGATCGTTGAAGTTAAACAACTTTAGTAGTGGCCAGTCGTTAGATGGGTTAGCAAAAAAATATTAGCGAGCTTCGAGTTCTTCCATTCTTCGGAAGGCCGTTGGTTCCGGCTGCATCTGCGGTCGTTATAAACACTTATCAGCACTGAGCTGCGTAGTGGTCTTATACGTTCTCCCTATTTCATAGGAAGGCCTGAGTCCGAGCAATGGGGACAAAAATAATTTGATTATGAGGATTGCAGCTAAAATAAAAAGAAGATTTACAAAAAAATAGATGACCAGGTCGAAGTTCCTCATTGTAATGGTTAAATTTTAGACTTTTAGAAACAGAGTCGTAATTTCAGCGAATTTCAATGAACTACTGCAGGTTCAATTATATTTTTTGTAGTAGGTCATGAAGTATAACTCCGAATCTATTTATTATATTTGAGACCATTCCAGTTTGTGGGAATTAGGTCATACCATATTGTATTAATTAACAAATCATATACAGAGCCAAAACCTCCTATTACAACATTAACTTCCTTATTTTGCAGCCGACAATCTACGAGAACTTCAACGCCATCGAGTTGTTCCCGAACAAGTTCCGCGAGTACCTCCTTTCCCCAGAGGTGGGGTTCAGCAAGTGCTGCATACTGGGGGTACCTCAGCACGCTAGCAAGGGCTTCCGACGACCAATCCAGTTGTACATTAAAGGCGATTTTACTCCAAGCAAGGCTCGATGGTCGGACGCGTATGCGCCTTCCTCCCACCATAGGCCTGAGGCTGAGCCGCCTGTGAGGACAGTTTATGCTCCAGTGGAGCCGGCGTATAGGCCTAGTGATGACGCGCCTTCCTGTGGGGCGGCTACTCCGTATTCTCCCAACTTGGATTGCAGCGCAGACGATTCGCCGTTCTACAACCCGCGTAGTGATACGTACGCGCCGTCATGCCAACCGCCCCGGCCGACAGTGTACGCGACACTGCCATCGCCGTTGGGCAGTGCTTCCCCCGCTGCCTCCCCTGCTGCGTCCCCCGCCCCAAGCGCGTCCCCCGCTCCCGACCCCATCTCCGCCCGCGGGTATCCGGAGCCGAGGCACGACGACTGAGCCCGAGCGCCCCCGAGTATTCCCGAGCGCGACGACGGAGAATCTTCATTGTAATAGCCCTAGTTCAGACGGCGGAATCTGCGCGGACGCTAACAACGCGGAAATTATAAAATGGTATAGGTAGCGGCTTTTTCATCCTTCCACTTTCGCGTCGTATATCTGTTGGTTGGAGGATATAGAAGCCGAAAAAGTCGAATATCACCTATAATGATCGAATCGGATTTTTATAGTACTATGGTATAGGTAGCGGCGTCTAAATCCTTCCACTATCGCGTAGTATATCTGTTAGTTGGAGGACTTAGAAGCCGAAGAAGGTCAAGACTCAGCTATTACAATCGAGTTGCTTTGTTTTTTATAGCAGCGTGGTATAGGTAACGGCTTTTAAAGCTTTCCACTATCGCGTCGTATATTTCTTGGTTGGAGGATGTAGAAGCCGACGAAGGCCAAGACGCACCTGTCACGATTGATTTGGTCGAATTTTATAGTAGCATGGTATTGGTATCGGCTTCTACATACTTCCACTATTGCGTCGTATATCTGTTGGATGGAGGATGTAGTAGCCGAGGAAGGCCAAAACTCACCTTTCACGATCAAATTGTTTGGATTTTGTCGTCATGAATGTGAATGAAGCGAAAGTGTGTACGGATCGCGCCTTATGGCGCTCTAGTATCTGCCTATAGCGGCAAACTTCTTGAGTAGAACCATAAACAAGTAAACTTGCGCAGTAGACGTTTTCGTAAAATTGCTACTGCGCAAGCTTCGTTGTTAATAGTTTAGGTCAAGAAATTTTCCGCACGAATTCCGCCGTATCTGAACTAGGAAATAATCACGCACACGCATCCATAGGGCACGCTTAGGACTCTGAGAGCGATCTTGAGTACGATTTTGAGATGTTGTTTTGTATAAAAATAGTATCTCTAGCAATCTCACAGTTGAGAGCGATTTATTATTACGGGCCTAAGAGTCTACGCCCGCTGACTGCACGATACGATACGAATTTTTATATTTTGCATTACAATAAAGTTGAAATTTCAATTACTTTAATGGTTTAATGGGTCGTAAATTCAGCAAGTCAAATAATGCCGATGCAACGTAAATAATTTTATAAAAAACTTGGGGTTCCTCTTTGGCATGTAAGTGCATGTTGATGTTTTTCGAAGAAAATACGGTTCAAAAATATAAAATTGATATATTTTTGGAACTGAGCCATAGATTTAATTAGTAATTTCGAAACACTTACATAACACAAACCTAAAAACAGCTCAGAATCGTAAGTTACCTTAAAGTATTTAAATAAATAATTTACAAAAAAAAAATATGTCACCCCCAGCGCCGCTGCCGTTAGGAATGGTGCTGTTGATATATGACTTGTCTTTTTAAAAGTCAACAGACAACTTACTTAATCACTGAAATTTCAACTTTGTTGTTATACTAATAAGTTGTTTTGTCTTTCTTAATAATCTGTCATATCGTGCCCCCAGTAGGTGCTAGCCCTTAATGACTTTAGCTGAAGAACGCGTTTAAGTAACGGTGACGATGTGCGCGTATTGTATCGTTGTCACGCAGTTAATTTTCGTTTTTTTTACTTTTAAACTTAAGCATTTACAATATTTGTGATAGAATTACCAATGTTATTTATTCATTGCTGTGCTGAATCGATAAAATAGAATCAAGGTAACTCATTTATGATTTTATAAATCGTAATACAGGCAATATACCTAGTAGTTATGTACGACGTACAAACGTGTCGAGCATTTACGATGATTTTCGTTGTGCAATAGAATTGATAAATGTTTCATTACCCAATATGCCCCGTAATTCGGTAGATCACAAAGCGTTCGCCAATTTAAGTCAATTTTCCACTTATTAAAGGAAACATTTTTTTAGTGTTCAATTTCCTTTTTCTTTTCGATAGAACCTCGCGGTATTTTGAAACGAACGGAGGGAGAGCATGCGCGCGTTGACGTCGACAGCGTTATCATGAAGATTCCACGTTGTTCTACTATCTCTATCGACTAAAGATATGTGTTGATACGCCTTTTTTCAAACAGTTAAAGCATATGGATACGCCACTGCGATGTGTAAATGTGATCGGCATATCCGTGTAGTTTGTAACTTTTTAAAATGCGCGTGTTTCCCATTTTAAGGACGTGTGAGGTTATGACGTTTTAGTAATTTGTGCCATTAGATGGCATTAAGATGGCTACGTCCCGAGGCAACCCTCTCATTCCTAAGCTCCATGCCTCCCGCCTTTTTTCGTGTATATATCGGTTTAGAACCATAGGATTATGTTTCTATAGGTTGAAAGTATTTTATAATATTATACTCGTGGATTAATATTATGTTGTATTATTTTTGTTTCCCCAATCACTTAATTATAAGTTAAAAATCGCCATCACAAATAATAAAAGTAAACAAGTTGTTTCTGAAGACCACTAAGACGTAGTTGCGGGTTCTTCCAGCTGACCCGCAGCAGCAAAGCTATATTACAGACAGTCAGTGCATAGCGTAGTCTTAAATGAAACAAAAATAAATAACGGTAGCAGTGGAGCATCGATGAAAAATGTTTCAAAAACGGGTAAAAATATTCCATTTGTGAGATTGTTGAAAGTTACACAAAAATTATGTATGACGGAATTCTTCCCTTTAAAAGTTCTGTAAAAAAGTCCACGACAGCCTATGTCCATATTTTAAGTTTGACGCACTATAAACCTTTTTCTTCAAATTAAGGCGGGTGAAACCAGCTCTAGTTGTGACATAACTGTAATAGTTAGACATATGGTATCGCGGAGCTTTTTGTTGATATTAGTATCCTCTATAAAACTTTAGTACATCACTTTGTTCTATTGTCAATGATTTTTGATGTTTTTGGACCTAGTGCACTGTCTGTGAGTAGTGGCGTCTTTCCCATAGGAGCGCTGGGTGCGCCGGGCCCTAGGGGGCGCCAGCCAGGCCGGGCGATCAACATGTGAATGAATCTGGTGGTAGATAGTACCTACCTACGTACTTACCTTACCGAACTACAATTTTATAAATATTACATTAAATAAATGTTTAAAAACAAAATTAAAACTTACGATTTAAGTACGTAGGTGTCGATTCTGGCATGATTATCTAAACCTAAACTTAAATTTGACAACAGTGCATCCTTGTCCTTCTCTATACAGAATGAAAAGGTGAGACTGACCTTAAATTAAGTTTTAAGTATAGAGAATCACGCCAGAATTGACACCATTATCTCTGTTATTCTCTATACAGTATGAAAAGGAGAGCCTGAAGTTAAATTTAGTTTTAAGTTAAGAGAATCATGCCAGAATTGATACAATGTCAGTTTTAATAATTGTTTACGTTTTTCTAGTTAACTCGGTCAAACTATAATACATATACATACATACGTATTCTTGCTTACTATTTTTGTAGCAGTCTTTACAATGAAAAATTGATTTGTCAACATTTTTGAAAATGAGGGTATTGTTGGCTTTCGCACTCGGGCGCCCCATATGGGTAAGACGCCCCTGTTTGTGAGAATAGCACAAACTTGGTTTAAACGTTTTCAATTTGGAAATGTTAATGTCAAAAAGGCATATCGCTCTGGTCGCCCTGTTATGAATATAATGGACGCTATTATTGAAAAAGTGGAGTGAGATTGGCATATCTGTACTTACGACGTAGCTGAAGAACTGGGAATTGACCACAAAACAGTTTTTGCGTATTTGAAAAAAACGATTCTTTATTACGACGTAATGAAACCGAACCATTTTTGAAGAAGCTGATAGCTGGTGATGAATAATGGACTACGTACGACGAGAACGTTCGAAAAGGCCGGGCAGGCTTCACAGACTGTGATGTTGTGTGTATGGGTGCGGCCAGAGTGCACTCAGATTCAGATTCAGATTTCGAAAACAAGCGAGAGAAATAAACAGTGTAGTCGAAGGGTACGGCCAGAGTGCACTCCTGATTCAGACTCAGAAAACAAAGCGCGAGAAAAAGCAGGCAACCTGCTTAGACTACACTGTTTATTTCTCGCGCTTGTTTTCGAAATCTGAATCTGAATCTGAATCTGAGTGCACTCTGGCCGCACCCTATGGTGGGATTGGAAGGGCATTATTCATTATGAGTTGTTACCGCCAGGCAGGACCATCGTTTATGAACTCTACTTCGGACAACTGATGAGATAAAAGCAAGACGTTGAGAGAAAACGGCCAGAATTAATCAACAGAAGGGGTGTGGTTTTTCGTCATGATTACGCTAGAACACAGATCTTTAGCCACTCAGAAAAAAGGAAGAACGTTTGTCTGGGAGGTGTTAATGTACCCGCTGTATAGTCCTTCCTATTATTTGATAGTAGTTTATGTTTATTTTAAAAACTTTTTTACAGTGGCAGCGTCATCCTTAACAAAAAAAAAATCATAATTACGGGCCATACAGCGGAGCGTGCGATAAAATTCATTACGCACGTTGCCGAGTATGGGAGCTTTCATTCATTAATTCTTTCCGGCTTTTTTTTATTTCGGTCAAATCTCACTAATCTAAACGACGTTGTGGGAGTGAGAGAAGAGGAGTATCTACATCAGAAAGATGTTAAACTAAATGAGCACAGGAGATTGGTAGGTGAAAAGGGAAAAGGGTATAAAGGGGTATGAACAAGGGGATTCGAGGGTGATAAGAGGATTGATGGGTGAAAATAAGGGTTTGGTGGGTGATAGTGAAGATTGATGGGTGATAGCGGGGATTGGTAGGTGAAAAGGTATTCGAGGGTGAAAAGGGGGATTGGAGGGTGAAAGGGATTGCTGGGTGATAATATCATATCCCAACAGAATATGCTCGTACGTTTTCGTGACACCGAAGCATCTTACTGCTGCATTCCGCCGATCTTTTAGGTTTGCTGCTGCACAGTGTTGGAACGTTCTCCTTCCCCCAGTGAGTGCTCTATAACATATTTACACTTATAGAAAACATCTCAAAAAGCAGCTACTAAAGGAACAGCCAATTATAGCGTAACTTTATAAGTAATACCTACCTTGGTTTCTATTACAGAATAAAACGGAGAGAAGCTGCGGCACAGCATTGATGCAAATTGTCCGTAGCATGATTTGGCCTTATACTTTTTGTCAATAGTATGTCCTGTTTTCTGAAGAACAGTGCTTAAATTATGCTTATTGCTATTATGAGTAACTGCTTTATTTGAGTGGCGGTTGCGTTATCAATCACTATAAGTTGTATACACGCCTTAATTAAAAATGTTGGATCATTGACTCCTGAATATCTTCACATATCAAGAGTTTTGCCAATTGAGTCAATACCACATGATTATTTATGTATTCTGTGGTTCGAATCAATATTTAAATTACGTTCAGCCTAGATGGAGGTGACTTCCCCAGACAGGCATTCCAATTCTCTCGGAAAATTTGCTATGCTATTCCTCTGTTGGTTTTAAAAAAGCATAAAGATATTATTATTGATATAATTTATGTGTTTATGATGGAATGACGGGTGATCAATAAGTATGAAGAAATATTAATACATTAAAATCTAAAGAAAAGATTACCTACACACTAGAAAAAAATCCACTCGGCCTCCTCTGAAACGAACCAAGTTGAAATTCTAGTAATATTTTCTTTATATTTAAACAT